TAGATCATCCCGTGTAAACTAGCCCCTAAAAATCCCTGACGATGGGGTACGTATCCGAAACTAGCCGGCTGTAACAAGGAAAGTAAAACAAATACAGAAATAATTCACTGAGGTTGAAAAGACTGTCACCACTTCCGGCAATTTATTATCGAATAGCTCATAGCTGCAATTTCATTTATTTTCACACCCCTATTTCCATTCTATTTGTCCTTTTACTCCAATCCTAAAATTTATTTTCAAAATATACATACTATTTTTAAAAACTCGTTGTTTTGTTTTAACACTATGTAACAAAAACTTTGTCGAAGGTTATTTCGGCGGAACTACCCTCGCCCCTGAAGAATAACACATATCCAGCTTTTTAGAAAAATTATAAAATTAATTCTGCGAATTTATTTTTTTTATGAGAACCTCTAGAAGTTAAAATAAACATATGCATGTATTGTTAAAGATTTAATCAACAAAATAAATTGACTGATTCATTAATTTTTTTGAGTCACTGTATATGCATTTCTAAAAAAAGTACGATGCTTTCGATAACTTTAATAACTTTAAAAGCTTTGCAAGATTTCAAAGCATTCGGTTTTGCAGTTCCTGATTTGATCAATAAAATAAACTGTTTCATTCATATTATTTTTATTCACCCTAAATAAGCAATTTTGAAAAATATGAATGGAATGATAAATCACAATTATACTGATCACATTTTGCATATTTTATGTAGGTACCATGTTTCCGATAACTTTAAAACGTCTTTAAGGTTTCAGAATATTCGGCTTTGCAATTTTAAAGTTAAATTGTAAAATGTTGTTATTATTATAAAAACTCAACACGGATTCATAAACTACAACAGGAGTTTGCCATTTTGTAAAATTTAAATAACATTTACTACCGTAAATTTTGGAGATGACGTCATCGCATTGGTGGTGTGCATGATCAAACAAATTTTTGTCAGCATTTTATATTTTACGCGATATTCCTAATATACGTACAAAATTTGACAACAATCGGTCCGGTAGTTTAGAAGATTATCGGTATAATAAAAATTGACACACGCGGACAGACGTTTTCGTATTCTAGGGGCAATGAAACGTCGAGAAAACATAAAAGTAGCGAGTCGCCCGATGAACTCAATTACAAGTTCCTTAGTTGACGCTCGGGAAGTAAAAACAAATAGTTTATGTCTGCTACACCAGGGAGGAAGAAATTTTGCCGAAGTCAGTAATCTAGTGAGGCCTAAAAACGCATTTTTTGTATAACATTTTTTTCTCCAACCGCTTTTAGATTTAACTGATAAATTTGTTTGCAGTGGAAATTTTTACCCGTTTGGTTAGGTAATAATGCCCAAGGCGAAGTTACTTTTTGTAGAATTGCCAGAAACAGCTTTTTTTTGTACTATGAAAATATGGTACCTTATTCCGACGCTGCAACAAAAATGTTTTTAATTATTCATTATTTGAGATGATTACGTTTTGGTCCTAATAAATGTTGGTCGAGCAACATAACTTGCGATAGAGTCATATTTGAAATTTACATATGCCTTCTCTGAAATAATACGTTTGACACTACGTCTAAAGCTACATCATAGAACAGCTTTTAACAAGATTAATTTTAATTGCCGATAATTTTGTAAACGTAATATTTATTTGAAATAAACCCTAAAGAGTTAAAAATTAAAATCCTTATAAACTGATCTAAATTTTACGCAAATTTATTAATTAATCTTACTATATTTTAAAAACCGTCACATCATACGTCCCTCCAAACCTTACTTTTCTTGTACTTTCGCTTGTTGCTGTTTCCTGGAAAAATAATCTTTACATTAAAAACAGTTCTTTTCAGAATTTTACTTGTGTATTCATTCTAAAAATGGCGTTTCCATTGGAGTTGATTAACTGGCCTATTAATTATTTTATTGAAGTAGGTTATTTTCAGCAAGATAGGGCTAGCGCGCATTCGGCTAGGACCACAATAGCAATGTTATGGGAATTTTTTGACAACCGAATCATTAGATGTGGATAAATTAATATTGAGCATAACAGAAGAAATTAAAGTCGTAACAACAATGCAGAGATGCTGAGGCACGCGTACCAATCTTAATCTTGTACCAATTTTTCTTGTAACTTCACACTTATATATTTTTTTAATTTCATTAAAAAGTGTCCACAATATTGTTTTTGTGTGTGTCATTATTGACAAGTGTAATTTAATGATTGAAATGCTAGATCGTTTCCAAGGATCACTGGATTCCAATACAAGTTCTAGGGAAATCGGATCAAGTATTTCTTACATAATTAAAAATAAAATAATATTACCAAACAGCAATCAATTTTCCCATAAAGTGTTGAAGTATTGGGTATAAAGATAAATAACGTCATCAATTTCTGGGTGGGAATAAAAATTCTGACATATCCAACGAAATACTTTAGGGGAAGATTTTCTGAGCAAATTGAAAAAATAAAATTACTGCAACATTTTTTTTAATATGTTCAAAAACATTTCTAAAAAATTAAAACATATATGGCCGAAACATAAGCGATATCGTATATCATAGAATATTTTCAATGACTTCATATAAGTGGAAATCAACGAACGAGAATTAGACAGAAAAGAGAACCTACATTTTCATATTCTACGACGAAACGCGGAAAATTTGATGAAAATCCTATAATCCGCTTTGAATATTCAGTTGTATAAAATTGGGTTTAACTAATTATATGCATAAAAATAAAAAAGCGCACACTTATGCACCATCGCATCGGGTTATCAGCATTATTATTAATTACTTCTGCTCTCTAAGGTCAAAAGTGTTTACTCCCAATAAGAAACATAAAATAATAATCGTTAGGTGTTAAGTAACACATCAACATAATAACTGTACACTTAATATTCCAGGGTTGTAACACTCGTAAAACAGTTTTAAACCCGTGAAAGTAAATCCTATCTATTGAAGAATGTCATCATATCCACATTCCATAATTTAACTAAAACAAAAAATACAACCGCATAATATTGAGAACTAACTTTAACTAAGTTCACATCAGTAGTTGCCAGAGGAAGTAATAACAGTTTATCCGTCTTATTGTTTGCAACCGAATCACTTGCGTACTATTTACATAATACTTTTGTGTAAGTACCATCTACTGAGCGTAATAAAATAAAAAGTACTTCTCAAGAGAAAACCTATAATTTTGTCATGTGAAAAAATGTGGTAGTTCCGCTGTTATCTATTAAATTAAACGAAGAAGAATGTAGATTAGCCAAGTTACTACCACATGAGGGTGAAAGTTAATATTTGCAGCGGCCATAAAGCAAGCAATTATTTGTAACATTGTACCATGCATGTCAGGATCCGTGAAATTTAAAAATTTAAGCAACACCTCTATAAACGTCTGCTCCAGATTGCATTGCAGCACGAACATAGTAGACCAAACTAGTTAGTAGTAGGTCAGTTACTTCCGAAAGTTCTTGTCCGATTCAGTTCGGATAAGAAGTAGTTCGACACTATTTGGTGGAACAATTACAAATTACAAAAAAAGCTAAACAAAAAGTTAATAAGCATTTGCTTAAAGCACCAACTACTTGCCTTTAGTAATTAAACTAAAGTTAGTGCTAACACAAGGACGAGGTCGGTTTTAGCCTTTTCGCAATTTCAGCAATTGTGTCTATGAGTTAATAATTACTTGCATAAGAATGAGACGGCATCTAAAAAATAAAAACAAAAAGCAGCTGAAAGGTTACCCAACAGCCTTTTTTATTATCGAGGAGAGGTTAGGCTAGTTATAATATAATTTAACTAAACGAAATGTTCATCCACCAATGCAAGTGGGTAAAAGCAAAAACGTGTTGGCATTCAACTTCATTGGGAAACTGTGTGCTGACTGTAGAAAGCGAGAGAATGAATAATTGAATATACATACGGTATTTGATGCTGTTGGGTTTTTAATCGGATGCGCATATAATTTGGGTGGACAGGTATTTAACGGATTCGGTAGGAAAAAAAGGAAATAACTTTACGTAAAAATTAGGTAATGGCTGTTTCCGTTGGTGTTACCTCATTCGATCTAGTATTTTGAACCGTTCATTCACTAGTCACTCGATTGAAAAAATCTTACAATTTAAAGCAAATTAATATTATGCAACAACTAGTTATAAAAATTAATAAATTACTGCATTAGAAGAGAAAACACATTCCCTTTATTTGTTGATAAATAATTAATATTAAGCTTAACAAAATTCAAAATTTCAACATGGGGGTCACCACGGATCCAGTGAATTAAAACACGGAAGTCTAAATTTTTACAAAACATACAAAATGTAAACAATCATATAAGTTATAAGCAAACAATAAATCAGTGTAATGAATTTTATCGAAAACACTTGATATCTGGTGAATTTCTTGTGAGCACAGCATAATTAAACATTAAAATTCACTGTGCGATTCGATAATTAAATTGCACTCATTACACATCATGCAACATAACTATAGCCCTTAAACTGCGTAAATTAAAAACGTGACTGCAATAGAACCGATTACTCATCATTCATATGTCCCCATTGTCATCGGTGTCAATTCTAACACTCAAACCCACCATTAACATTTGCACTACAAGTCTAATTAGCTACCATCAATTATACATTTCAATTACAGAAGGTAACTACGGTTTTAAAACTTCGACCCACTAACAACGCCGTTGCCCAACAGCAAACATTTTAATTAAATCGTAGCCGACGTGTGACTGCATCGTCCGACGACGAAATCATCCAGATGCATCGTGTGCAACTTAATGAGGTTTAGATTTTTATCTGGCTCAAATTAATTCTGTAATTGTGCTATTTTCACATTGTTCCATGTCTGAAGTCGATAAGATCTTGCGAAAAAAAATTACGATTTGCGTCAAATAAATCCGCAATGCCATCCCGGTGACTACTAATTAAACCGCAAGCACGAGTTGCATAATGATTGCCTTGGCATTGAAATTTGAAATGGGATATTTTACCTTTTTGTGATTCCACATCACGTTGACGCTGGGCTTACCACGGCGGAAGTCTGATTGGTCGATGACGTCATCGTGGACAAGGGAAGCTGTGTGGATCATTTCGGAAATCATCGCTACCTCCCTTTGCGACGACAGAAGACCACTGCAACAGGAAAATGTAGAAGAAACTTTCAACTTTGGGACAACGAGTATCAGGGAAATAAATTAAGCGTTTAATCCATCTGCCAACTTTTTTCTACAGTTAAAGTTAAAAGTTTTTAACTATCAAGTAGATCATTCTTGAACACTTGTTGCCTTTTATACAACAATCAGATGTTAAATTTGAAATAGTAAGATATACACTACACTAGGTTGAAATAGATACAATGCCATTCAATACAAAAATTTAGTGATCAATTTTCAGAAAAGCTCTTGGACCAGCTAAAGATTATTTCACAGGTACTAGACTTTTAAAACAAATATGAAAAATTTTAATGAACAGTATCTATAAGTCGCGAAGTTATGGTGACAGTTGAAAGTGTTACAAAGAAATAAGGATGTTTATTGTTATTTATTCCAAATTATAACGTTGTTTTTATAGATTAGTTGGAGATCTTTTAATAATATAAAGTTTACTTCACTTTATTTCCCTCGTCCTTCCTACGAGACGAAAATGTTTTTAATGTAGTGAGAAATGCCTTAAAAACACCCTTAGGCAGCATCAAATCCATGGAAAGATACTTCGATAAGTATGTTATTTTAGATTGAGTTATCTTTTTTATTATTTTTTTTAGAATTTTTAAACCACTCATATTTAAAAAAAATTACAGTACAAGCACCAATATAAAAATAGGAAGTCCTTCAGTAGATAACACATTTAAATGGACAATTTGGGCCACTTCGTTAAAAAAGACACAAGTTTATAGATTACGAATAAATTTTGTAATCAATTTTACGGTCATTTTTAATTTGAGATGACAAAGGTAACGCAAATTAGTTTAATAATATGTTTTAAATTAAATCGCACAGTAATGGGTTCCAAACATTAAAACCGCCTTTCAAATCCAATTTTTATGCAACAAAAGAAATTGTTGGAGAAATGACGGAGGCTCCAGATGTCGGTGTTATTACTGCTGGTAGTTTGCTGAACATAATGCGGTTATTGTATTGCACTTTTCACTTAAATTTCTAGTTGCAATTTAAGAGTTGCATTGTGATAAAATATCTGGTAACACCACAGATAGCAATTCAAAGTTGGTAAAAAATCGGTATTATAAAAATAATTTAAAATTAAAATTGAAATAATATTAATAATTTTAATTACACCGTGTGATTTTTTAAATTTCTGGTCCAATTGGCCACGACACGTACATCAGCAGTGCAATTGAAACGACTAGAAATTTAAAACATCTCCGATGCAATTAACTGATAGGACAATTATTGATATATTTGCATTTTGTATTGAATTTTGGATATAATTTTATAACACAAAGTTCATGTTTTGTTTTGTTTTGTTTTATTTTACATAAATAAAAAGAAAGTAAATAATTGTAATATTTTGTTTACCTTAAAAAAAAATTTGCTCTTTTAAAATAAAGTTCTAGTTACCAGTTACCGACTAGGTTTTTTTCAAAATAATAACACAACTCTTTTAAATATAAAAAAATGGTTCAAGGTTTTTTAGTCTCACACCTTAAATATTTACAATCGAACAAATCCAATTTTGTCGAAAAATTACAAAATTCAATTTTCCAAATTTTATTAATTTCATGACAACCCCTATAAGTAAAAAAATTGGTCGAATGTTATTTCGACAGAACTCCCTCGCCCTTGAAGTACAATAAATCATCCAGTTTTTTTGAAAAATTAGAAAATTGGATTTTGCCAATTTTATTTTTTATGAAAACCCCTGTAAGTTAAAATAAATATATGTATGCAATGTTAAAGTAAATTTAAAGGAGCATACTACGCGTGAGTTACAAATGAGTTTTTCCTTTACAAAAATTTGTGATGACGTCATCAACTTTTTTGAAAGGAAATACATATCAGTTGGGGTAGGTGCAGTATAATACAAAAGATAACAATACTGTATTCTCAAATTTTCGGGAAAATGAAGTGAGCCGTTCCTGATTTAATCAGTAAAATAAATAGACTCATTCTTCAATTCTTTGAGTCACTCTGTATAAGCAATTCTAAAAAATATTTATAGAATGATAAATCACAAGTATAGGTTCATCATATTTTCTACATTTTGGATATTATTTATTCGGCAAAATTTTGAGATGACGTCATCAATTTTTTGGGAGGGATGAACAAATATATTTTGGTTAAAAATTTATCATGTTCACGATAACCGTAAAATGTCTGCAAGGTTTCAAAGCATTTGATTATGCAGATCCAAAATTAATCCAAAAATTTAGATGCCTCAGGTAAAACTCAACACGGATTCATAAACCAAACTTTTTGTCATTTTATATAATTTAAACCCCATTGACTATGTATAATTTTGAGACGATCTCATCACATTGTTGGCAAGAATGAATAGACAAAGTTTGGGTAGCGGTTTGCCATCTACATGATGTTCATAATGCACATATATAATTTAACAACAACCGATCTGGTGGGTTTGGAGATTATTCGTCTAACAAAAATCGTCACGGCGAATAGACAGACAGAGAGATGGAAACGGAAGACCTATTTTTTCATCATCTAGGGGCCATGACACATCGAGAAGTAGCCAGTCGCCCAATGGACGCAATTACAATACTTCCTTAGCTTACGCTCGGGAAGACTGAGATTCGAACCCACTCGGAGCATATAAAATACAGGGTGTGCTATTTGAAAAATTGTAATGTCGCTATTTGAAAACTGTAATATTATTTAGTTTTTTAAACATGCTGTGCATAGGGTTCAATTTAATTTAGACCACAATAAGCGCGTACGTGGGTTATGTCTCCACAAAGTATTGTAAAACAAATTCTAAAAATAACATTATTGCGATTTTTTTTTGTAAAGCATCCACTGGTGAAAAAATTCAAGCAAATTTTAGTTTACGCTCCAACTTAAAATTTTGAGCCACGCTTCAAATAAATAAATATTCAGAAAACAACACGCGAAAATTGCACCAAGGTTGCGGTCAAAATTTGTTAAAATCAGTTGAAAATCTAACAATTTTTTGCAATATCAATGGATTTACCAGTACGATATGATCAACTGTCTAATTTAATTTAATTTTTGAAGGTAAAGCGTATTGGTTCCAGTTTTTTTTGTCAAATTCTATTATCAAGATTTTAACCAATTGTTTTACTTTCTTGAGTTATCACCTCATACAAAAAAATAGATGATAAAGTAATTTATTAATTGGTTCTAATCTTCAAAAATATAACTTCAACAACCACACATATTAAAAGTTGATTATTGAACTCGATAAAATTTTCACCTGGTCATATACCGTTGTTAAAAAAATACACACTTTAATAATTTATACAAAAAACAGAATGTTAAAAACCACATAAATATAAAAATTATGCAATGCAAAAATGTTTTTAAATGCAAAAACGTTAAACTGACAGAAAGAAAATTAGAAATACGTTTCGAAGATTTCAAAATTGCGTCTCAATTTATATTGGAATATTCAGACAGCATAATATTGTTGTTAGGTGATTTTCATTTAAGTCCTGGAATTTATTTAAAATAAGATTGATTACATAGTTTAATTACTTAATTAACAATTTTTAATTTTTACTTCAAAATTTATTTCACGTTTTTGACGCATGATCTTCATTGCACGTGGGATTTTTTTAAATTACCTTTGATTCAAAAATTTGTATAATAAAAATTATACATCGTCAAGTACAAATATTTCAGTTTAAAAATCGCATGACAATTCGAGCCAATTTTAATGCACAAAACGCTAAAAAAATAACTACTGCAATTTTAAGCCATTAGGGCAAAACTGGGTGGCTGGATTTGAAAATATAAAGTCAAATGCAAACTGAAGGTCTTGAACATATAATATCGTCAAATTGGTTTCAAATGGGAACATATTTCTACTTTTTCATGGTCCATATATTGTAATAAAAATATTAAACTATATGGTTTACCACAAGCCTGATAAAGTAGAACAAAGATGAAATCTATTTGATAACTTTCCTTTTGACGAAACTCCAACAAATTAGGAAGATGTAGTCCTTGAACAAAATTAATAATTTAAAATCGTTCTTCTCATACCACCAAATATTGGCACAATACGTGCTTAATAGGATCGAGAAATTGACTAATATGCATGGAAACCTCCTCGTTATGAATAAAAAAAAATTATTATATACGTTACGAATGTGGGAGCAGACCACAGCCGTCAATTATTGTGAATGAACGGAACAACCTTGAACGAGTACGTGCAAGGTCACGTAGTACCATGCAGGATGCTCTGGAGTACGTTGTACCCGCTTGACCCATAACAAAGTCACGCCGACCCGTCTCTAGTCACCTTCTCCGCCTTATTATTACACATGTTGCTTAACTGCACTAATCACCCAGTTCTACCACTCTCAATGCCGAAACATTTAGAAACAAACAGCGGGTAACTTTCGTATTGCTTCACCAAATAGAAAAAGACCGAAAAATGTGGGCCACACATGAAGGAGATGCATTTTAACCAGGAAATTACAACATCCGATGTATAAAATTCCCAGGAGATAATGGCCATCACTCACCTTTTTTCTTTATATATGTGATAATTTATCGCCCTAGCCATCAAGATGGCCACCATAGGCCTTATAGCTTTCCCATGTCCGTCGAAATAATACGTGGCTATCTCATAAAGGTCATCTTGGTAGGTACCCCTGCGTAAAGCCTGAAATTAGAAGAGACTTCAACAGTAGATTAGAAAACAAACCCATCAACAACATGCAATGCGATGGTTATTGAAGCTATTTGACAAGCTTTTACATGTGTGCATAACCGAGATGAGCATGCACCTTGAATCGATAACTATACACTTGTATATACAATGTTTCGGAAAAAATAATTTCATCACAATTGAGTAATATCCCTTGGATCATCAAGCGAAAAATTAATGCAATCGTACATGGTAATTTTGCAACGACAATAAACAGATTCTTGGCATAGCGAAACGTGCTGGACTTACGTCTCGGATGTAAATGTAAACATCCTTGAGGTCGTCTTCTAAGAGGTGGTACGGATCTATCTGATATTCGGGAAGGGAGCCGGGCTGTTGAGTTCTCATCGTGCTAAAGCTTCGAGCTGTCCCTGCAATTTCCGGCCTGCTGCAAGGATGCCAGCATCCTGCGGAGACCGTACTCGCTGCTGTCGCTGCCAAACTTTGTGAATGTTTTTCATTCTGTAACAAGAGTAAAAATGAAACATTTTCAGTCTGTTAATATCCTAAGTCCAGTTTATTACTAATAAATTGTTGTGAAGTTTGATCCATGTTTTATGCTCATATTATTGAGTGGAACTTGCTTATCCGGTAATAATTATCGTGGGTTTTAAGAGAAATAACGCATTACTAAAACCCATTCCCATGTTCCGTGGAATAGTATGCAACAAAATGCAAGCGAAAGTGTTATTATAGTGATTGCGCTCCAAGCTATCGTTCTAACTTTTTACTGTCAAACTGAATCATACATTTTGTAATAACAAATGCACTTTTGACAAAGTATATGGCGATTTAAAAAAATAGTGTATGACTAAAACAACTTAGAAAAATATTTAATGTGTTTAGAATTTTTTATAGCTTTATTATTAGTGTTATATATTTTTCGATTTTAACATAATTGGTAACATTACGTTTACCACTTCTTTTAATGTCACATGCTTGTTATATGAGCACAACATAATCAAAACATATTTTAAAAATGTTAAAGATCTTATCAAACTATACCTACGCACTTTTGCACAAAGTAGAATGATTTTCCATAAATATCAAGAAATCGGGCAAGTGACCGAACAAAAAGCAAATAAAAATAAAACGCGTCTATTTTTGTTTTACACAAATTTTTTATTATGCTGTCGACAAGTTAGACAGACACATGTGATAATAGGTTCTAGATTATACTTCCAAGTCTATGGCGTCATGACTAAAAGTTATTTTTTTATTTTAACAATGACAAATTAAAAAAATATATTATTTTTTTACGATGACTCCTAAAAGTTAAAATAAAATTGTTGAGCGGACTGTTGAGCGATAGGTAAAAAGTAGGCTAAGGGTGTGTTTTAAGTCCTTTGTCCTTTGTGTAATTTTTTAGTAGAAAAACGAAAGAAAAAGGTGACAAGAAAGGGAATAAAAGCGAAATAAAACAATTCCATTAAAAATGAAAATAAGACAATAAAAAGTTAAAATAAAGGCAATAAAAATGGGGTCAAACAACGCCACAAAAAGGCGACTAAAAAGAGAGAAGTCAAAAAAAACATAAAAAAGATCACAAAAAAGGCGACAAAAATCAGACAAAAACACGACAAAAAATGCGAGTAGGGAGTAAAATGTAACAAAAAGTGCAACCAAAAAAAAAACTTTCAAGAAATTGGTCGTAGTTTATTTAGACAGAATTCGCTCGCCCTTAAAATACACTACAACATATCCAGCTTTTCCGAGAAATTATATAATTGATTTTATGTATTTTATTTGTTCGTGATAACCCATAAGTTAAAAGAAAGATACATCAATTTAAATATGTTCAGCGTTACACTAATAATAAAAGAATTGTATCCTCAAATTTCCGGGCAAATGGGGTAAAGTGTTTTTGGTTTAATAATCAATTAAATAAACTGTTTCATTCATTGTTAACGACGTCGGTCATTTATAAATTATGACATTCGTCCACGATGTCAATTTAAAATTTTAAAAATCTGAATGTGTATGGTAAAAAATTAAAGCGGATTCATAAACCATAAGTAGAGGTAGTGATATTTGAAATGACGTTATCATACTCTTGGTGGGGACGATTAAATTTTGATTAGAGTTTTACGTTCTACAGGATATCCCTAAAATATGCATAAAAATTGACAATTGGTCCACAAAAAAGCTAAAACAGATGACAAAAAAACGCCATAAAGAGAAAAAAGGCCAGAACAAAAAGTGAAAAAAAGGAGGCCAAAAAATGTGTCAAAAATACAACTAAAAGAAGGAAGTCAAAAAATCCAACAAAAGAAGGCCACAAAAATAAAAAAAAGCTACAAAAAAGCGACAAAAAGTCCGTAAGAGGGCTACAAAACGAGAGGACAAAAAAGGCAACACAAGTGACAAAACACTTATAAAAAAGAAAATACAAGGAGAGATAAAAGTACACAAAAAAGCGAAAAAAATGTGAAAAAAAACGGTCAAAAAACATTAAAAAGGTCTAAAAAAGCCACGACAATAATTAGTCCAAAACCGCGTCTAAAAGCAGGGAGTACAAAAAGTAACCAAACTGTGATAAAAAACGAAACCAAAAAAACGACTACAAAATAAAAGTAAAAAAGCAACAAAAAGTCAGCAAAAAAACGATAACTAGAAAGCAAATAAATTATTCGAGCATTCGAGAAATAGCTACTAGAATAGGACACAACAGGTCTCCCGTTTGTGTCGATTTTTATTAGACAAATCTTAGGTAAGTACATGTTCTGAATATCGTGTAGATGTTACACGCTAACCAAAATTTGTCTAATCATCCCACCGACACTTTGATGACGGTACGTTAAAATTTTATACACTGAACATTATTTAAATTTTATAAATAACATACTCCTACATTTGTGGTTTATGAATCCACTTTGATTTTTAATCACATTTACTTTTTAAAAATGTGCAATATTTGCCGCGTGGTTCATGTAACCAGTATCTTGTGCACGCGAGAGACAAGTGGTTGGTGATTAGATGATTTGAGGCGTTAAATTTGAGCAGCTGGAGCTCTACGAGCCCTAGTTTAAAATCCATCTTCGTCGATATTTTTTTCAAGACATTGAGTTTGTTTGAACGTTTGACTTCAGGCACGAGAGAACTTTTGTCAAAATAACTATACACCTTTTTTTTATTATCCATATGATGCCATAGAAAATCCCAAATCATTTTACTAGGTTAATCAATCACCTTTGAGAATAATAAGAGATTTGAATAAAATCATTAATTCAAAAAAATATTCCTAAATGATAAGTAAAACATAAGGTGACATTTTATGTATTTCTACTTTAAAGATTATAAAATTGCTCTTGGCACCCAAATATGCAAGATCCTTGCGCAAATTTCAAGTAGAAACCGGTACATATAATGAAAAACTGCATTCCAAAAATAAAATATTGATCATGTAATATCTATTTTAAAATGTTTTTATCTCCTTTTTTTATAAACAAAGTCAAATCTACTTAATAATTAAAAGTATATGCACCATGAATTCCCCAAACCCTTGAACTTTTTCCTATAAACTCATAGTATCAGTATCACTGATAAAAACACACTAGTCATTTTCAAAGTACTGCATTAATATAGACCAAAAAGATTTTTAAATTAATTCTTTATCAGGGGTATAAAAATACTCAGTGATAGAAAAAACAGTGATAATTTGAATATACAGAAAACATAACCTTTATAGTACAGTTAAAAAACCAAGTCTTTAAAAGAGGACCATCTTTGAAAGACAAATTAGTCTTAATTTGTATGTATTTATGAAACACATGTGCAATGATTACACAATATAATATTTCTAAATTTCAATTTCTGTTTTCAGTCTGTTTATAGAGTAATTTTCATTAATTTTACCATATACTTGACGGCTGCTGCTATTCTTGAATTACTCACCATAAGCTATTGCCATCCATATTTAAAACTTTAAATATAATTTTGATATTCTGACCATTAGTGTGGCACTTGAGTGATAGCATATTTTAAATGTAAGTGACAAATATTCTTGCCAACATTACCTATTTATAATTACTAAATGTGTTCCAAGGTGCTATATCTGTTAACAACTTAATTGCGCTTGGAGTGAATTTATGCAACTTAGCTGACATTATAACGGTTCACTGTTAATTATACCCCTAATTAACTGCTTCTCAAATGTAGTCCTCTGCTCTTAAATTTCGAAAGACTGTGACTAAACAAATGAAATTTGGTAAAACAATTGAGCAATAAATACTACACTGTAAGTATGCCAGTATAATTAGGAAGGTATATCAACCAAAAAAAAAAAAAAAAAATGCATAGCCCTGGGTCACTTTTATATCCTTCATATCCTGTTATAGGGAGTTTCCGGAGTTGACGTGTTAAATAAATAGAAAGTTTTAAAACATTTTTCAAATTCGTTTCCTGAATCAAAGGACATTCGTAAATTGCAGTTCGTGAGTCGTGGTGAAGGTTAGCAGATGCACCAGTGTTGTCGGAATAGTAATGTCAATGCCAGAAATTAATCCGACTGACAAAGTTAACTTTTAACATCGTTAAACTTAAATACCCTGGATTTTACTCAAGAAGATAAATATATCCTTAAAGCTCTTGTCAGTTGCTGAAACTTCGCATTTTTCCCCTTGGAGCGAAAATACATTAACTGACGATCGGCTGCCGATTCGTTAATGTAACATTAATGTAAAAGAACTTCCGCTGGTCATGTTTTTTTTAGTGTTAGCATAACAAATCTCCAAATTAATTAGATCGTAAACTTGTTTACATCAGTAGTTGTTGTCACACGTAATATGAACAGAACTTAATCAATAATCAATGCCACGTTAGAAGCAAAACCACCATCTGTAAATGTGTTTTGCCAAAAACACAAATCGTTTACTTTCTTCCATTGCAAAAACAATTATTCTGTCTCATGTTTAACCATCGTGGTAAAGTTTCATAATAATTCCATTGTATTGTGATCACGTCTGACAAGCATGTGTCATCAGCAAATAACATAATGTTGTTATTCATATAAGCCAAAATGGAACTTTTAGATATATTGTAAACTAGACGTCTTTTCTAAAAAATTCCGACAGCCGTGCTACGTGTTACGGTACATAATCAGTTTGACAAATTAAACATTCGATAAAGAAAGCAATAACTTATGCAAGTTTTACCTATGCAGGTTTAATAACATACTACAGTGAAAAAATCTTTTGGTATGTTAAAAAATTGGTCTAAAGTCATTTCGCCCCTGAAAACAAATTTCAAGAACAGGAATAAAAAAATTAATTATCCGAATTTTATTTAATTTTTTTGACAACCCCTATACCTAAGTTAAAATAAAGATATATGTGGACTGTCGAAGTACAGGTAAAGAAGTCTGCTATGGAGGGAGTAAATAACATCCCGACAGCTCCTCCGCACAGGCACCGACAGATGAACAGACGAAACGGCATTTCTATTTTTTCGTACTTTAGGGGTCA